ACAGAGGAAAAGGAGCTGGAGGCATCTTTTAATATATGCTGCATTCACTCACAAAGTCTAATAGTTACTTAATAAAAAAAAGCAACTTATTCATGAAATAATGGCACTGTACCCATTCTGATTCAGGCATCTATCTGCTAATGAGCTGAGGAAATAAATGCCAGAAGACTCCCAACACAAAGAATGTGTCCAGTTGGAAATAGGTTAATTTTCATTCTTCAATTTAATTCTCCCAACACCCCATGAAGTATGGGACTCAAGTGAATCCCATTTTTGTCTGTAAGTAATGGGGGAAATGCAAAGTCAAAAATCTAGATTTGGTGGCCCACCAGCCAAGAAATAGTCTAGCCAGAACCATGTTAAAAACACAAATTTTACTGTGTTTAACAAAGCCAAGTGTTAATGACTGATAGATGAAGGAGCAAAAATAAAGCCTGTCTTCACTCCCGCCCCTTTTTATGGCTATCTGGCAGTGGCTCGGCTTTTAGCAGATGTTGACTTTGTGCTCCCAAACAGTATTATTGGCCAATGGGGAGCCTTCCAGCAGTTTCCTCTTCAACCTAGAGAACTGGATCTATTCATCAGAGACTAGCTTCTCAGAATTTCTTTCTCTTGAAAGAAATAAGGATAAAGTTCTTATATGGTACTAAAGTTTTGAGTGAGCACCCAAAGATTCCAACTTAAAAATGAGGGGAGAGGCTGCCCCCAAATTGTCTATAATGTTTTGAATCCCTTAGCAAGGGCATCTCCATGGTAGCCTTGCTTGGTCTTCCTGAGATCAGTATACCTGGCTCCATGGGCTGTGCAGTCTGCCTCTCTCCTAAGAGGTGCTTCAGTGTGCCTTTTAAAATGTGGACCACTCCAGTCATCTCCCAGCCAACCAGGTAGGGCGAGAAGAATGAGCCAGGGGAGGATGGACTTGTATGTGAACCTGGCCATGGTTTACTTATTCTTTGGGGAACATGTATGCCAGTGGGTCCTGCAGGCAGAAGCAAATATAAGTCGCTTATGAGGTCACAGCCATACCTAACTCCTTTTCCTGGGTAGAGACTTGATCCATAGACCAAGCATCCATGGACAGGACAGAAAGATGTGACTAAGTGGTCTTTTGAGGGAAGATCTGGACTTGAATATGGGACAAGATGCAGTGCACTGTCAAGGCTCCCCTAGCTTTCTCCAAGCCTGTTTTCCTTCACACACTCTGCCTCCAGCCCCCACCCCTCAAGTGTCAAGAGGATATGACTTTCTGGAACCTGGGCTCAAGGCATGTCATGAACCCCACACTATAGCCCTTATTCTGTGACGTTTCAGAGAAGCCATGATCAAAAGTAGGGATAAGGGAAGGTCTGTCCACAGGTCACACTGACCCTACCCCACACAGTAAGGACTGCTGACCAGGGGTGAGGCTTACTTCCTTGTGGACAGTGGTAGGTTCCCACAAAAGCCATTGAAAGTGGCTCTCCCTTGGTTTCCCTCTTTTCTAGGTACAATAGGTATGACAATAAAGTCTTTATTAAGAACTTAATCCTCAAGTTTTAAGGGTAAAAAATCAGTCTAATAACTCATAAAGGACTACAGATGTTTTAGAAAACACCCAGGGATGGACTTGGGTTTGCCTACCCGCTGTACCTAACACTTTAAAATAGAGACCCATTAAAGGGTTACCCTGGGTCATTTATCATGCCAAGCTATCAGGTTCCTGTTCAGAGCTTCCTTGATGGGCTAATAAATACCACCCCCCACCTCACCCCCACAGCAGCAGCAACAAGCCTTTTGACTTGTCAACAATGGCTCCGTTCCTTTGCTTCTAGATCTTGTCATCAACAAACCCACAGTGAGCAGCCATCTAGGGAGGAATTTGTTTTATCTCAGTATTTAGAGAATCCCATTAGAGCCTGGCATCTGGACTGTAGGGTTTCCATCAAGGCCTCTTGTCCACCACATCATCCTCAGAGCTGTGGATGTATCCTGAGGTTGTTTGACAGTTAAGCCTCCTCTAACCTCAGAACTGGCTGTTTTGTGGTCTCTCTTCTCTGGGCTTCAATCCACAGAGCAGAGCGAGTTCCCAGCTTCAGATGCTGGAGACAAAAGCAAACAGATGAATGACGGACTAGAACAGCCTCTTCCCATCCAGTTATTTTGGCAACCTCTGGCAGGGCAATTGCTTACAAAGGACACACCAGGGATCAAACACCAGCTAGCATCTAGAAAAGCCACTGGAAACAGAAACATCAGAGGAGGAAACATGCTCAGTTGCATTTTTAAAACTCGGAGCATCTCTAATTGATGAGGCTATAAGTTAGGGATCAAGTGTCCATATCTGTTGTGTTGTTGTTTTTTTGCTTTTGTTTTTGTTTTCCCTGATCTCCAGATTTACATTTTTGTGAGGTAAGGTTGCTGGAGCTTAATATTTGCATAAAGAAAGGTAAGCAGATAGTGGTTAGACAGTTGCAAATGTTTGGAAGACATGGAGCTGCCTCTCAGATTAGCTCCTGCATCTTTGATTTTTATTTCTCAAGTGTACACTCTGACCCAAAGGTCTTGGCGATGAGGCTTTGAGGCTTCATACTTAGCTTTGAAGATAAGAAAGACCAGAAATGTCCATCATTTCCCTTTCTGTTTTCTTCTAAAACCTTGTTAAACTTTGAAAATAAAGAAGTTTTTAAAATACATAATATTCTCAGTTCATGGGAGGAATTTATCCACATTTCTACCATGTTAAATGTTAGCTGAGTTTATACTGGGCTGTCATATTTCTTTACTTTATCCACTAGTATACAAGACGTCGATCTCAACATCTGGTTTTTAATAACCCTCGACATCTGGGAGCTCCTTTTTATTCCTATGGTGGACGAGGAACAGTAGTGATATTGGCAGTGTATATTTTCAAGCTACAACTCCTGTCTGTTTCAATCATAATTAATTACCACTCTTTAATATATTTAATTTGCTAAAAGTAATTTGCATTAGACCACACTTCACTGTTAGGAAAGCAGTGGCAGATTTTGGTGGCATTGGCTTTTCTTTCTTCTCTTTTTGAAATTGAAACCCTATATGAATGGACTTGGAACAAACTCCATGTAAATGTGCTGTTGGGTTTTAAATGCAAAATGAAATAAATTGCTCTGCAAGCTAAGTTCTTTGACAGCCATTTAGGAATCGGTCAGCTGGAGCTGTGGGCTACATTTTACAGAAAACTTGCAATTTTGCTTTGTAACTGGCAAATTGTAGCATCTTTCCATGCCTGGAGTTTTCCTACAGAAGTGACTTGGGGGTGGGGGTCAAGAATGATATGATGAAAGTCAGGGCCTCTATTAAGAAGGTATGTTCACACACATACCCACTGAAATTCTGCATTGAGTATACAGGTGACTAGGTCCCCTGGGGTGCCCTGCTGTAAACTTGTTTTCTTTATTAACATGAAAGGGAACACCAAGTTTGCTCTTCTGCAGACATGGAAAGGAAGTTCAGTGAGTGTGACAATAACTCTCCTCAGTTCCAGAGGAATAAAGAAGTATGTAGCCAAAACACTGGCTAGGAAATAATAAACTCCTCCCATTGATCCTTGTACTTGGTTTCTGCCAGGATGTTTTTCTATCTAAACTGTCATGTGACAATTCAGACTAACTTACCCAGTTCAAACTCTCTTGATTGAGAGTTCCAAGAGGAATTCTGAAGTTTTGTGGACCACTGATTCTTTTGGCAATCTGAAGTCTCTAGAACTTTTCTCAAAATAATATTTTAAATTCATGAGAAGCAAAGGGAAAAAAACTGTATTGGGAATCAGTTCAAAGACTATATATATATCTGAACCCTCAAATAGATAAAAAAAAAATTACCTTGACTTAAGTATATGAAAACATGTATTGGATTGTGTGAAATTCCTGTTTCTGAAGGTCTAAAGGAGTGACATTTCTGTATGATTCAACCCACCACTACATCCAACACCTGAAATAGTAAGATCCAAGTCTGAAGACATGTTTCAAGTTACTCCCCCCCTCTTACTTCCAATTGTTTGTTTTTTATTTTTCAAAACAAAGCAACAAGTCCTGAAAACTCTGTTGTCCTTGGTGAGTGGTGAAAAGCCCTCTCCCTCAGATGATGTGTGGGGCCAGCGTGTAGAGCACTCTGTTCCTGTTTAGGTGCACTCTGTCACAGAGAGAATGGTTCACAGCAGGGACTTTGCCATAGAGCACATGCTCCTATCTTCAAGAATTTGAGCTCCCTGCTTATTGGCCTCTTCTCTAGGAGAAGAAATTAGCCAGAACCATTTTGGAAATATTTTCAAACCAGATTTCAAACCAAATTAGTTTGTTAGAAGATGAACACAATGTTAAATAGACAACACCCTTTCTGCAAGCATTCTGCCTAATTGAACGTTCACACCCTTCTTTGATTATAAATGTAAAGTCAATTGTTCATGTGTGTAACCCTTCTGTATGCTGAGTACCAATTAGAATGAGACAAATAAGACTGCAGCTTGAGACTTTCTAAAATAACTAATGTGAGTTATCCCATGCTAAAGAGTTTATTCCACCTAAGTAGAAAGTTTTTTTTCTTAATTCTTCATCTTTTATTGATACTTTAAGCTTAAGAGAAATTAAGGGTATTTGATTACTATAATTACTTCTCTGCTTACTTTAAAAGTTTAATCCACTCTTTAGGCATATGCAATTCAGATTGTATGCTTTCTGAAAAAAATAATCATCTGCTAATATAGACTAATTTTAATCTCCTAATCCATTCTTGACAGAGTCACAGCTTGAGTGGGTGGAATGTTTTTGTGTGGGGTTGCCATAGATACAAAACTTGGTTATGCATTTGACAAGTCAGTGATGTGGAACTTAAGTTACTATGGATTTTTTTTCCTTGCTCTTTAAGATGAAACAGAAAGTTCAGAATCGTGTGCCTTTCAGTACATGTTGGTGTGACTAACCTTCTCTTCTTTCATTCTGGCGTTCCTCCTCTCTGTGCACCTCCCCACCTCGGGCCGGCCGCAGGATGACGAGGAGGGCATATGGGCATAGCCGGGCCTGTAAACCAAAGTTCCAGTTTTGTTTTGAGGGGTGAGAAACCATCTTTTCTATCATTTTTCTAAAAACATAAAAAAAGAAGAAGAAGATTGCATTGTAGTGTTGCATTGTGTGCGTGCTCAGTTGTGCTCGCTGACGTTTGTGATTGTGTCCTGTGTTTGCTACTGTGTTCCATGAGCTCAGAATGGCCGCGTGCTCTGACCATTCCCAAGACCCCCAGTCCATCCCACCTTGCCTTCCCACCCCACCCCCACCACATTGTTGCTCTGCCTTGTTGGGACTGGATTTAGCACAATCCAACTGTTTCTGTGTCATTTCAGATATAAACTATGCCCTTAGGATTCTTGTAAACTCTTCTAAGGCATGATTGTAGACTCAAAACTTGTCACAATTCTCCAGTCATGGTTTGCAGCCAACTGCTTGCTTTACCAGATATTCCAGTGTGGTGTGATTCTCGTGTCCTTCTGGTTGTATCAAATGCTTGGCAAGGAATAAGGAAAAATCAAAGTCTGTATCTTCCTGGAGCTGAAATTGTCATCTCTAAGAAGCCTGTTGAATGGATTATACTGTCCCTTCTGTGGCAGTTCTGAAGAACTACAGGAGGATCAAGGCATAATAATGGCGAATGGGTAACTGTAACTCTTCCAATGAATTAAAATGGATGTGTTGCCATAGGGGGTCCTAGTGGTATTTTATCTGTGCCTTTGATTAAAATTTGGGATCCTAGGGGGATTTGCATTATTAATTATTTGCACTGTATTCTATGGAGAGGTTTTGCTTTTTTTTTTTTTTTAAGCTGATTTTAGCAGTGAGGAAATCTTCCTTTGTTTTATTTTGTTTTTGTTTTCTGCACTGTAATTGAGTAGGGGTGCACATAAATACCACACAGTTAGAAATGGAACACTGAACTGTAGCTGCTGGGAATTGTTCTTCTCCAAGACACCATGAATGTTTACCACCAACTCCCTGGGGTTGAATGATCTTATGGTGACATGGATATGCCATTGAATTTGATGACACTGCACATGACTTTTTGTTCAGAACAAAGAATGTGGTAGACTTTGTGCTGGTATAATTTTTTCTGGTCAGAAAGTATTCCAATGTAGGTCTTTGTTTTGGGATAAACATGAAATATCACAGTGCTGGGAATCAACATTAGAATGGTTGTGTGCATTTTCTCAAATCCTGCCTTCCTACCCCATGGCAGTGCAGTCTGTGAAATTTTAACCCTGAACTTCTATGTTTCACCCTTGGGTGTTGGTTTTACTACTGTGTTTCACTTCTTTGTTGAACCTGCTCTAAGTTCCATGAACGTGCCAGTTGGCTTTAGTGGTTCTGGTATCAGGAAATACACAAGAACTAGTTTTCAGGTAGGGCATCTGTAGGCATAGTAAATATGCACCAAGCCATACCAGTAAACCCTGCTGTTGAAAGTTCTGGACTCTTCTTCCTGGGCAAGTAGAAAGGTACTATCATGAACACTCTAGATGTTGAGGGGATCAGGAAGAAAGCTTGTCAGTATGAGGAGATGGTAATACCAGGATATGCCCGGCAGCAAGAGTCAAAAACCTGACAGTCTGTCCAGGGAAGACATGAAGAAAGACATTGCACTTACTGACATAGGAAAGCCAATAAAAACCACACTTACCTAGAACAATATTAAATAAGAAGGGTTTTTTAATAGTGAAAAGCAAACATGGAACATTTACCATCAAACATGCCAGGCATATGTAGGCAAAAGAAGGCCCTACAAGTTTGGAGATGGTCTTAAGAAGGGGACTCTGTTTGGGGCTCCTCTGTGAGGCACGCCTTTTGTAATAAGCAACTGTTAGGGTACCAGGCTGTACTTTGACTATTCCTTCACAGGACTCAAGGACATCTGCCTGGATGTGTCCTGTGTCCCTTTCAGCCAGAACCAGCTCTAAGATCCATAGAAAATCTAGCTTTGCTCAAAGCAAATATAGAGAGTAGTGTTAAGTCCCTGTCTTTTTTTTAAGCTCTGTTAAGTTCCCTAAACGCTGTGCACCCAAGAAAACAACTCTCTTCAGAAAATTAGTGGATATATTATTTTACCTTAATATGTTATAATAAATTTTATGGACTTATGGGGAAAAGTGCTATCTTTCTTAAGGACTCCTTTGAACATGTGTGCTCAGATATCTATCCTCAGGCTTTTAAAGTTGTTTCTTTAAGAGTTGAAATAATGAGATACTGGGGAAAATCTTCTATGTTTGAACAACCATCACATTTCTGTTTACAATCTCTGAGGCCTGAAGAGACATTAAATTTATAACTAAAGATGGATAATAATGGTGCATTAAAAACTAACTGTTTTGAATGTTTTGGTTTATAGCCCTTATAAAAGAAACATTACAACATGCTCTTTGCATAGGCATCAGTTATATGCTCATAACAGCATCGGAGGGCTTCACTTGAAACTGGAATCTTGGTGCTGAAATTAATCATAATTTAGGCCAAGTTGTTCTAAAATTTATAACAAATTGGAATTAGCATAGCAGCCCATCAGCTCCTCCCTCTATCGCCACTTCTGAATGGGAGGCCTGAGGCCTGATTTATTTGTCTTCCTGTGATCGTCCAAGAGTGGTGTTTTATGAGAGCAAAGTGGACTGGGGAAGTTTGCTTTTCTAAGGAGTTTCAATGGTCCCTAGAATTAACCTTGCCCCACCTTTAATCCTCATGTTCAGGCCTAGCTTTCTCTGGGGGTGGCCTGTACAGTCCAAGGGCCTTCTACTTTGAAGGGCTGGTCCTTTGTCACTACTGTGAAATACTTAAGATTTCCCAACAAGGGGATTCTACATTTTCATTTTGCAATGGGTCCCACAAACTTCATAGTCGGGGCAACTTGTACTCAGTATGTATTTCTGCACCCTTTGACTGATATTTGCTCTGTGCCCCCCTACAGTCCCCTACCCACCCCCAGTTCAACACCCCTCTTTCCTTATGTGTAGGATCGACCTGAGGATGCATTTCCACCAAGTTGAACTTGTGGGCATCCCTGTGGTGTGTATTTGCAACCACTGTCCTTGGACTATCCCCCTCGACACATGTACTTTTGAGTTTAAATGTATGTGCAAGGAGCCTTAACTATATCATCTCCTGTGCTTCACAAAAGCAGAAAAAGTAGCTGTTCAGCTCCCTACTGCTTTCCTTGGGGAAAACCCCCGGTGTGGCAATCTTAGGTGTCAACAAATAACTCCGTATCATTATTGAGTGAAGGTGCTCTTTTAGTGTCTGTGAACACTCAAGGAGGTGGGACACCGTAGGAGACCAAGTTAAGGTACCTTGAGACCTAGCGCCACATTTGTTTTGACACTGAGTTGTTTGAGCTCTTGTTATCAATTCTTATAATTGATCAGGCATAGACCATCATTTTTATTTGTTAAATCACTGGAAAGGAATGCCTTTCTCTATTGAAAGTATATGTAAATTTATGAGCTGATTGATAGAAATATAGTTGTAGCATTAGCAAGTTCTGGTGTGGGATCATGATGTCAGTCGATATGTCTTGATATGAATGAAGAGTTAGAGCTGTGTGACATGGCCAACAGATAAAACATTTAAACACAGACAGAAGGGTTTAACACACAGAAGCAGTCCTGGAAGGGGTAGTGAAACTCCCAGCACATCAACCCTCATGAAAGTGGAAGGATAGGGGAAGGGAAGTATAGTTTGTATAGTCCTCTCTTCTCTCTGCATACAGCATACCTGTGCTTGTCTGGAGCTGGAGAAATGGAATGGCTGGAAGCCTCTTGCTCTTCCTCTTCCTCCAGGGTTTTCTTTCCTGCCTCTTCTACTGAAAAATTTGTTAGTGCTTCTGTTTGGCTTAAGTTTCCTATGATTACTGGGCTGTTGTAGTTTTTTTTTTTTTTGCTGTTTTTGTTTGTTTTTGTTTTTTGTTTTTTTTTTTTTGTTTTTGTTTTTTTTTTTTGTTTTTTTTTTGGAGAAAGGGTTTCTCTGTGGCTTTGGAGGCTGTCCTGGAACTAGCTCTTGTAGACCAGGCTGGTCTTGAACTCACAGAGATACACCTTCCTCTGCCTCCTGAGTGCTGGGATTAAAGTCATGTGCCACCACTGTCCGGCTCAAGTTGTTGTAATTATACCTTGTACTGTTAGATATTAAGACATTCATTCATTCATTTATTGAGTTTTATTTACTCATCAAATGGTTAAGTTCTTGGTTACTTACAAGGAGAACAATGATGAATAAAGTAAATGTGGTCATCCCCTGTGAATCTTACCATGTAATTAAGGAAAATGGAACAAAAATGGTTAAACATATTAGTAGTCATCTTACAAATTTTGTTAATTGTTTGTGTAGAAACCAGGAAGATACTGGTGGGAAGAGGAACTCATTGGACAGGGATATTATGAGTTTCCAGTAAGGAAGTGTGTTTGCAGCCAAGTCTTGAAAGAGTAAGAGTCAAGGTATACCATGTGTAGGTATGTGCTTAGGAAGTAGTTACAGGTAGGTGCACAGAGGGTTGAGAGCAGAAAAACCTTCCTGGAAACCATTGCTCATTAAAGGAGCACAAAACAGAGAGATGAGGGTGGGGCTGTAGGAAAAGGTCATACCACATAAAGCCTTCAAGGCCAAATAGAAAGCTCAGACATTAGCCTAAGAAAAATGAGTAGGCATTGGAAGATCTTAAGCAGGGCCATGACATAATTCAATTTTTGTTGTAGATGGAGAACAGCTCTGGATGCTATGTAAAGGCTAAATTTGCATGGCAGGAAAGCAGAAGTAGTGGCAGTTCTATCATCTGAGAGAACGGATGATGCTGACCCAGGGCAGCAGCAGTGCAGATGTGGACAAGTGTACAAATTGGAGAAAAGATCAGGAAATGAAGCCAGGAGGACTGGGTGAGGAGGTCAGATAAAAGATGAAATTGAGACTGCCTCTGTGGATGTCAAAGTTACAGAGGCTTTTAGAGGGTGGAGGGCCAAATAGGGATCCAGGACTCTTTCCTGCAGATGTGCAGTCATCCTGGCCAAGACACATGTAGGCTTCTGACCTGTGCACTTTCACATTTGCCTGTGTAACAGCATGACAATCTTTGGCCTCTTGTTGCAGTGATATGAAAGCTGAGTTTAAAGTATGGCTGAAGTCCAAGTTTAAGACTATGGCTTCTCCAACTCTCCAGAAGAGGGGAGAATTTGATTAATAAAGATTGCAAAGAAACAATGCCTTCTGACACAGGCTGGCAATCTTAAACTACTTGGGATGCAAAGGCAGGAGGATACCTAGTTCAATGTTATCCTGGGCAACTTAATGAGACCTCTGTTCAAAATAAAAAATACAAATAAGGACTAGGGCTATAGCTCAATGATAATGTGCATGCTACTACCCACAAGGCCCTACCCATGCTCTTTCCTGCACCACACCAAAGAATCATAGTAGTAATAATAATAAATAATGGAATGAGGAAGTGTGTGTAGAGAGGGTGTTCTGTAGGAGGCCAACAAGTCCCTGGGGAGGGGACAACAATGCCAATATCTCTTTCAACTCCTTCTGAGATCACCAGGCTTCCAACAGTCCGGCATTACTCATGGTATCTGGCTATCTCTGGTGTTTGGCTTCCCATTTTGAACCTAAGAATTATTGATATTGTCTTGCAGAAGAAGATTTTTAACCTCTTTTCAGGACCCAGAATGAGAAA